TTAACTTCTACGGCATTGTGTCCAAATAATAAATACGTCTTAATGAGTTCCATTACCCACCACCCCCTATGTCACTCTTATTCTTCCTAAGAATAAGAAATTTCCATTTCTTTAAAAATGGACTCATTTGGGTTCCCCTAGATGCAGAGCCTGAGACAAGGATTTGGGTGCAAGGATTATCTGTGGAAAGTGATCCCAGGAAGGCCACATAAGAAGGTCGGGAAATGAGACAGGGCAGGGGATAAAGCCAATAGAGAGTGCACTGATGAGCAAAATGGAGGTGACCAGAGCTCAGTCTCATTGGGCACTTCGAAGTTATTACAACCGAGCGGCAGAGAAGTGGGAGTATCCATCTACTAACTCCCATTCCTTATTGGCTATTTAAAACTGTAGCAAGGTCCTGTTTTCATCAGATATGGTAGGACACAAAGACACAAAAAAGACTGTCGTGGAGGAAGGAGCTTTTATATGCACGGATCCCTGAAACAGAAGGCGTGGCATGCCGTGCAGGGTCACACAGGGAAGAACCAGGATCAGTCAGGAGGCAGATGGAGTGAGGGCAAGACAGCGTTAGGAGCCCTTATTGTGGTTTCTGCAGGAAAGTAAAGACAAGGCAAGGTAAGCAAGCTCGGGATTGGCTGGTTTGCATCATTTCAGTGGGCACAGTTGTCTAGGACCTGGCCGTGGGGCGATTAGGGCAGAAGGATGGTGGCCTGGAATATGAGAGCCTGATAAGGAGGTGGTTGAGGGGTTTGGACTTTGGACTGGTTGGTTTGCACATGAAAGCTGCCCTTGTGGATGAGGCCTGTACTATCTCTAGGAACTGGCCCACCGTGGGAGGGGCAGGGTCTCCAGGATCAGCAAGGCTGCAGATGTCCCAACATCAGAAAATGCAGAAGATAACACAGCATGAGTAACACACTGAGCCCCACCACCCAGGCATGTGCGGGGCTGCTGATGCTGACGGGTGTGGGCAGGGGACCAACGATGTCTGCTACATTATTCCTGGTCCCTTGATTTCTGCACAGATTTTTCAATGAGCCTAAATTCCATGAAGAATTCTATTGGGGTTTGTATGGGAATTGCATCAAATGTATAAATTTGGTGAGAAGTGATTTATTTGTAATTTGAGTCCTCCCATTCATAAATATGTGTATTTCCAGTTCTTCCTGTGAGTCCTTGAGCGAATTTTTTTTTATCATATTCTTCATGTGAATGCTCTTGTTTATCTTTTCTTAGATGTACTCTCAGGGTTTTTTTGCTATTTTGAACAGAATCTATCTTTCTTTCTATTACATTTTTTAATTTGGTATTACTCATATGAATGCTAGTAATTTTTTTTACAGATGACCTTGAATTCAGCAACCCTACTCTCCTACTAATCCTAACAATTTATCTGTATATTCTCTTGGATTTTCTACACAGACAATCATATCATCTGCAAATAGGGGTAATTTTCCTTCCCAATTCTTAAATTTTACTTATTTTATTTCTTTCTATTACAGATTGAATCTATAAATTGCTGATGTGGGGCAGTCTGTGACCTAAAACAACATCAATTTCATATAATTTAACCTACCACATTCCCCAGGACCTCCAGTACAATGCTAAATAAAAACCATGATAGAAAGCGCTTTTGTCTAAGTCCTGACTTCGATGAAAATTGCTTCTGAAGTTTTACCATTAAGTATGATCATTGCTACATGTTTATTAGGTTAAGGAAGCTAGCTTGCTAACAGTTTGCACTAAATGAGTAATCTGTTAGGGTAGCATATCACATTAGTGAGTATCTGATGTTGACTCACTCTTGTATTCTTGGAATAAACCGTACTTTAACATGATGCAATATTTTTTTGTGTACACTGCTGTATTCGACTTGGTATTATTTTATTAGAATTTCTGAATTCATAATAGCTAATAGCAGCTCACATTTATTAGGTGCTTTTTATGTTCTAGGCATCATTAAGGCACTTTCCATTAATTATTTCATTTCAATCTAGAAAGTTTAGCATGAAGGGTATTTCCTCCTTTGAAATATGAGAGAACTGGGGTGCAGAGAAGTGAAGTCACTTCCCAGGGTCACAGAGAATGTCAGTAGTGACACTGGCCAGACCACCTGACTCAGAAGTCCTGCACTAACTACCACTCCACGCCCCCTCCCTGGGGCAAAGACCCATAATTCAGAGTCTTCTCTTTTCCTGTGTGTCCTACTTCCCAATTACAGTTTCCTCAACAAATAGGTTCCATGGCATTTTCTCTTTTTCTTTTCTTTTTAAAAAATATTTTATCAGACTTCTATAAAAATTGTTTTCGCCTGCAGTGAATTTGCTCATTTCTTCATTTTGTTGGCTATCGTTTCTTAATCATATGTCAAATCTTGGTTTGTATGCTCATTTTGCTTTTTTTTTAAAGCTCAAATTTACAGAAAAGTTGCAAGTACCATACAAAGCACTCTTTATCACTGCATCATTTGGATTATGTTTACAACACATGGCACCCCATCATCTCTGAATACTTTCTTGTGCGTTACCTATAAGGTAGTCTCCGATACAGCCAAAATACAGCCTTCACAAAGCAAGAAATTAACACCAATGTATTACTACCATCCATCCCTCAGACCCCATTCAAGTTTGGCCAGTTGTCCCGACGATGTCCCAGACAGCAAAAGGACCCATTCCAGAACCACATCTTGCATTTAGTTGGGATGTCTCTTCAGTCTTTTCTTGACTTTCATAACCTTGACATTTTTGAAGACAACAGACCAGTTATTTTGTAGAATGTCCCTTAATTTCAGTTTCTCTGATGCATCATCACGGCTAGATTCGAGTCATACATCTTTGGCAGGAATATCACAGAAGGATTCTGCGTTCCTCCTGCCGCGTCCCACCAGGTGCTACACCATTTGGATTTGCCCCATTACCAATGGTGTTAATGTTGATCCTGTGGTTAAGGCGGTCTACTAGCTTCCTACTGATGCTGTAACAAATAACTACAAATGGAGTGGCTTGGAACAACATTAGTTTTTTTTCTCTTACAGGTCTAGGGATCAGAAGTCTAACATCAGTCTGACAGGGATGAAATCAAGGTATCGGCAGGGCTGGTTCCTTCTGAAGGCTCCAAAAGAGAATCCATTCCCTGCCTCTTCCAGCTTCTGCTTCCCTCTTCATATCACACTGCCCCACCCAGACCCCCTGCCTCCCTTTTGTAAGGGTCCCTGTGACTCCATCATGCCCAAGGAGAATCTACCCATCCCAACATCCTTCATTCAGTCACTGCTGCAAAGTCCCTTTCGCTATATAGGGTAACATTCAGAGGTTCTGAGATTAGGACGTGGACATCTTTGGGCGTCATTCTTCAGCCTACCACGGGTGGTATCTGCCAGGCTTCTCCCCTGGAGAGTTAACTCTTTTCTCCCTATAATTAATAACTATTTTATGAGGAGCTACTTTGAAACTATGTAGGTATCCCTCTTCTTATCAAACTTTCAATCATTTATTTACTTTGCTATATGCTTATAGTTTCTTATTTTATTCAATGAGTATTCATCAGCATTATTACTTATTTTAATGCTCACATTGTCCCAGGCTCCGTTGGTGGAGCCCCTCCAGGATGGCTTATGTGTCCCTCTGACATGCCCCCATCCTTCTCACCGCCCTTCTCTCACTTTCTGGCACAGTTGTAGGCTCTTTCCAGTGGACGTTCGATTCTCACCCTCTCTGTCTGCCTACCCTCGCACCTTTGCTCACCTAACTTACGGTTTGGCAGCTGCTTCTAGGTGGGCATTTTTAAGCTCCCATCCTGCGGTATATCAGGGAAAACGTGCATCCCACAAAGCTAGGACTTCAGACAACAGATCAGCAGCAGGCTTCCCCTCCCAGCTTCCTTTCAGGCACTGAGGCACATGCAAACCCCCAGCTTCTAGTTCAGTCTTTTAGTCCCCCTTAAGCCCAAAGGACCTGCCACTGCCTTTGGCTTCCAGAGCCCAGCAGGCTCCAGGCTTCAGCCGGCCCCTACCACTCTGCATTTCTTTTCTGATTTGGATTGATGGAGATCTTATTTTTCAGCCTGGCTGTGACGATATGAAAGTAAGACTATGAATCCTGGGAAGAAGGTGGCACCCCCCTCCCCCCAGATCCTGCCCTCCCGCTTGGTTCTTTCAGTTGTTCCGTTTGTCTGCTGGGACCCAGACAGGGGAGGAGGTGTGGGGCCGCGCGCTACGGAAATCACCGGAGGCCCTTTTAGATCCCGGACTGAGGCTCTGGCCAAGTCCCGAAGTAGGGCTGCCCTGGTGCTGATGCCTGTCCCGTGAAGTCCCCGGCCCCGAGCGGAATAGTACTGATCCCAACACCCGGTGAGGACCACCGGGCTGGAGGAGGGGCTGCGTGCTCCCTTGAGTCACCTGAGCCGCCTCGGGTCAGCCCAGGTGGAAGGCCAAGGGGGGAAGGGGGGACAAGGGGCACAGGCGGCCCACTCCGGGTCCCATCCAGTCCCTTCAACTCTGCTCGCTTCCCCAGTTCCCCAAGCGAGGCCAGGGGACCCTGAGCTAGTCACCCTCCCCAATGCCACCCACTTTTCCTAAGCGCCTCCCTTGTTTGCAGAGAGCCGAGCCCCACTCCAGCTGGCTCGCTCCCTACTCCCTGCGACGCCCCTTTCTTTCGGCAAACCCCAGGGTACGGACGCTCCCTGGGGCACAACCACGTGTCCGAACAGTGCGGGGACCCTGCGCCAGCGCCCCCGGGTCTCCCCACGGGACGCGCGGGGCGGGCGCGGCCAGAGCAGGTGGGAGCCAGGCGGGGGCGACAACCCGCGGCCGCAGGTCTGGGAGCCCCAGCCGGCCCCGCCCCTCCCCGAGTGGGCGGGGCTCACGGCGGCCGCCCCCGCGGGGCCCCGCCGGGCCCTCTGCCGGGTCCTAGTGCCCGCCGGCGGCGCCGTCAGACTCCGAGGCCAGCCCCCGCGCTCGCTGCCTGCTAGTGGCTCGCCGGCGCCGGGGTGCTCCGACAGCTGCGCTCGCCGCGGCTGCCTCTACGGCCCCCGCCCGCCATGAAGAGTGCGCAGCCCCTGGTCCTTTTCTCCCTGGTTGCCCTTTGCCGGCGCGGTGAGTTCTTTTCGGGAAACGAGGGAGGGGCGTCGGTCGCGCCGCCCGGCTGCACTGGCCACAGGTGGGGGGGCCTGGGGGAGTGGCCCGAGGTCGTCCCGGCCGGACGGGGGCGTGGGCGGGCTGAGCCCACTGGCCGAGGCCTCTGGGACGGGCCAGGGCGATGGGTCCCAGAGGTTTGGGGTGGGGGCTGCCTCTCCTCCCTGTGCACCTGCCGGGCAGCCTGCGCGGCGAGAACCTCCGGGCTGAGCCGGGGCTGCGTGGCACCGGCTCTGCACTAGCGCGAAGGGAGTCTGCGGGACGCCGATGTCAGGTGCCAATAGGCTCCTCACCTGCCAGGTGTAGCTGCAGGGAGCACCCCTGCTGCTCGGCCTGGGAGAGAGGGCTCCACGCTGCTAGGGTAGAGATGGGGAAACTCAGCCCGGACCGGGAAGGGCTTGCCCAAATCGCCAGACCCCGAATGGTTTGCAGTGTGGGGCGTGTCTCCTAAGAAACACACTTTTAAGATACCACTATCTCTGGTCACCCACCCTTGGGGCTGGGCTGGCTTGGACAGACAGCGTGGAGGAGCGTCAGGCTGGCGAAGTGGAGAGCCGCAGTCTCCGACACCTGAAAGGGAGACCTCATCCGCCCTTCCCAGGCAGAGTCCAGATGTGATGAGGATTGCCTTCTCTGGGCCTCAGTAACCCGCCCCCCTCACCCTCCCCCGAGTTCCAAGGACCCTTAGCTCCTACTGTCTGGCCCAAGCTTGTCCTCCGAGTCCTGCTTATAGCCCAGGAGACCAGACGGGACTACATGTTCCTTGGACAGCACACAGCACTGGAGGTGTTGGAGGCAGGCCTGCGAGGACATACAAGTTCCTCCAGGGAAGTGCAGCTCTCACCAAAGATGGTGTCCCCACTCTGTGTGTGTCCTGGCTCTGTCGCCACTTGCCGGGTGACCCCATGCCATTCCTTTCCTCTCTCCGGGCCTCAGTTTCCCCACCTGTTCTACAGGAATGATATGCCCTGCCTACATCCTTGGGGACTCAGATATGAGTCAGCTGCCGTGTTTCTAAAGCGCGGTCCTGGGGCCACCTGCATCAGGATTACCCCGTCCAAATTAGTGGGCCCCACCCTAGCCTCATGGGATCTAAATCTCTGGAAACAGAGCCTGGGAACCTGGGTTTATACAAGCACCCAGCTGATTCTTACACATGACAGATAATATGTGGTGAGCTTTTTGTAAAAGGTAAAAATCTCAACCTTTAAAAAAAAAAAAAATCCAGAGCTGCCTTTTAATAAATACAAATCTCCTGTTCCTTTCCTCAGTGAAGGACATGTACCCCAAACTGAAAATCACTCTGCCTTCTGGATGTTGCCTTGCCAGGAGATTCTGTTGGTCTTTACCTTCTATGGTTTGTGTTCCAAAACAATAGCTATTATCTCTTCGTTTTCCCAATATTAGATTTTAAGATTATGCTTTGTCCAACTGTACACACAGTCAGCACAGTGGAGGGTCTGAGCTGTGGCTTCCCCCCAGATGTTAACCCCTTCCTGCTCCCGAGCTGGTTTTCCAGAGAAGGCCTAGGAAGGCCAGGCCCTGGACACAGTGCTGGCCCTGGACTCCTCAGAGTCACTGGGTCATGACTGACCCCTAGTGGTGGCCTCCCTGTTGAACTGTGTCGACCCCAGGGCTGGGACATGACCCTCAGAGGCGCCCAGGAGGCTCCCCCCATTCTGACCCTTGTCATGGAGCGGGGACAGGCCCTTATCTTTTGAACCCAGCAGGCCTCACAGACAGAAAGCAACAAATATGTGTTGTTCTGGGTTCCCACGGCCTTTTTGGTGGTGGTGGGAGACCATTACAGCCCACAGCAGCCCTGCTGGTCTTTCCCACCCCCCACCCCCCCACACATACAAGGGCAAACACAGGTGACAGTAGGAGCACACACTCAGCTAGGTACCAGGATGGCCTCTGCAGGGCAGTCTCCCTTTGGGGACGTTAGCAAGGGCAGGACAGAAGGCACTGGGGTCCGGGAGGGCCCCTCTCTGAAGGAGGCTCTGAGATCTGGCTCTGCTCTGACCTGGTGGGGCTCCTCAGGTAAGTTCCTTCCCTCTTGGTCTTAGTTTCCCCGGATGAGAAACAGGAAACGTGCAAAATGGCCTGAGGTTTTCAGAACCCCTAACTCCGGAGCCCACAGCCTGTCCTCAGGATGGGGAGGGTCCCTCAGGCCAGGTGAAGGCCCAGGAGGCAGGATAGCCCCAAAGGTGAGCAGCCTTGACCTCTCAGGAACCTGGTGGACCAACCTCTGGGGCTGCAGAGATGTGGGCTCCAGTCTCTCCCTGTCCTGTAGGACCAGGAGCTGCAGATTCTGACCCCAGACTGGCCTCAGAAATGCCAGAGGAGCTTGGACAAGTGATACAGCCCACTTTCTGAAATGACAGGTCAGCCCAAATACACACGGAAGAGGCGCTATGGGAGGGACCCAGCTTCAGCCTGGGGCTACAGGCTGGCTTCTAGGGTATTCAAACAGCTTGCCTCTGGGAGGGGTCTAGGGTATGAGAGGCAGAGCTCAGAATCTAGGCCACGCATCCAGAGGACCCCCTCTGGACAGCCCCAGGCAGTCTGGGGGAGGGGCAGCGGGCAGCAGGTGCACCCGGGAGCATCATTCACAAGGCACTAAATATTGCATCTGCTCCACATAGGCAGCGAGTCGGAAAGTGCATGGAGCAGGCTGGCGTGGCGCCGGCTCCCGTGGCCCTGTGTCCAGCCCAGCACCCACACAGGAGGCCACCTTAGACCCGCTTCACAGGCCTTTCACGCTCTGGGCCCTCTGGCCCCACCCAGAGGGAGGGATTTGGCAAAAAGCCCACACTGGCCCTTCAGGGAAGGATGTCATCTGAACCCCACGCCCAGTGAGACCCAGCCTCTCCCCGGCAGCCCCACCCCCACCTCCTCAGCCCCCGTTACCTGATCTTCTCCCACCTGCTCTCCTGCCCAACACCACCTGCTCTGCACATCTCCCCTCCCTGCTGCTGGGCTCTCCTGCTCAAGTGTCCTTGACCTTCCCCAGAGTCTCTTCCCAAGGCACCACCCCCACCTCTGCCCTCAGCTGACACATCCTCCCAGAAGACACCAGGGTAAACAAGACCAGGTCCCTGAACCTCATCTTCACTCCCAGACGTGTGAAGGAGCTGGGACCAAGACCCACACCCCGCTGGGCAAGAGATCCAGGCCTGTGGGAGCTCAGGGGGCCCAGGGGCAGGCCAGGCTTCTTGTGGGAGCTGCACTGGTTACGACCCTGAGCCCACCCCTCTCCTTTAAGCTCCGGACCCGGAGCCAACTGTCAGCTGGACCCCAACACTTTGCAGTCTGAGGGTCTTAACTCGGGGAAATTCCCCGTGGTCAGTCTGTTCTCTGCCCGTGAACATAGCACCCTCCTCCCTGCTCTGCACACAAAACCCATGGTAGTATCCCTCCGCCGCTACACCGGAAACCGAGGCAGGAGTCACTTCTGGTGTTTGCTTGCTGTCATCCCTGGCACGTGGCACGGTGTCTGGCACAAGACAGACAGACGTTTGATGGTTGGTGGCCTGGGGGCAACTCTGGCAGAGAGAGTGCACTCAAGGACTCAGAAGTGCGACCGTGAAGACAGGGTGGGGAGAGGAAAGCAGGAGGGAGGGCGGACCGCCGAGCGTCTGGGTGGACCTGTGAGAAAAGATCAGGTTGAGGAGGGCAGGCTGGTACCAGGGCCAAAGGGCTCAGTCAGGGACGCCTGAGAGGCTCAGGTGGGGAAGGCCCTGGTGAGGCCACGGCCACTGACTGTCGTGCTGCGTGGCGTGTGGCGGCAGGGGCAGAGTCGGGCGGGGACACCTGCAAGGGGCTACGGGAAGAGCCCAGGCCGTGCTCCATGACCCGGGCTAGAGTTGGGGAGCGGGAGAACGGATGGATAGACTTGGGGTGCAGAGAGACTTGCAGGCAGCACCCCGTTTCTGGACGCAGCGTCCGGGTGTGGGCTGCCCTTCATCCTAGTGGGAAGGGGAGGAAGGAGGGGGCAGCCCGCCCCCGGCCTCTGTGCACCCGGCCCCACTCTCCCCTTCGCGGCCAGCAGGGAGGGCCCAGCAGGTCTGACCGTGTGTCTCCCCAGGGGACTGCCGTGTGGCCAATGCAGAGGAGAGGCTTGTAGATGACCTTCTAAACAGAACCCGCTACAACAACCTGATCCGCCCGGCCACCAGCTCGGCCCAGCTCATCTCCATCCAGCTGCAGCTGTCCCTGGCCCAGCTCATCAGCGTGGTAGGTGCTGACTGCCCCCGTCCAGGCCGGGGAGCCGGAGTGTGGGGCTGGGGGCACCTCTGGCTTGGCCCAGACCTCTAGACCAGGTCAGATCGCTTGTCTGCTCCTTTTGCATATGCATATGTTCAGGAGTCCACCTAAACTGGAGGCCTGACCACCTCTGTGCTGTGACTCCTTGGTCCCGGAACTGCAGGCTGGCCTTGCGCTCCTGCCCTTGCTGGGCGAGCTGCCCACTGCGTGCGCACCAATCCTACCGTTCGGGGCCACCGTCAATCCCAGATCTCAACATCGATGAAAATGCTTTAACTTCAAGCCACAGAACATCCAAGTCCCAGTGGCCAAAACACTGAGAACAACCCAGTGAGAGCAGGCCAGTGCCTCAGTGCTGGTCAGTCAGGGACCCGGTGGTGTCGGGAGTTTTAGGTCGCTGTCCGTGCCGGCCAGTCGGGGACCCGGCGGTGCCGGAGCTCTGGGTCGCTGCCCGTACCAGTCAGGAGGCCCGGAAGATCCTGGGTGTCCGATACCTAACAAAGTCATGGTTCTGTTAACAAAGATGTGAAAGGGCAATGACCACTGGGTGGGCGGCCAACAGGCCTGCCACAAACAGGTGGGCGTCCACCATGGCCATAAACTTCTCCTTGTCCTGGTAGCTGTACCCTATCATCGCCCTCCCCTAGCCTGCCCAACAGAGGCCCTCACGTCCCCCCACTTGTCGGGGGACAGAGGAACGAGGCTGTGGGACCTGATGGGTACCAAGGCCCCGGTGTGGGGACAGGACCAGAGGCAGCTGCTGCCCGGGGTGGGGGTGAGAGTCTGGACAGGTGAGGGCAGCCACCGCGGGCATGGGAAGGAGGAACAGCTTGCAGACTCCACAAGTAGGGCTGTCAGCTCCTGGTGTGTGGATGTGGGGCAGGGGTAGGGGTGCTGAGGTGCCGGGGAGCTCCCCCTCTCCCCTCGTCTCTGAGCTGAGAGTGTCTGCAGGAACTACGGCCCACGGTTAACCTTCCCCGTGTGGCCTTCCCACAGCCCCATACACGGGGTTGGAACCTGCCCGGGAAGGAGCTGTGAGGGGAGCACTGTAGGGTACCGCATCTGGTCGTGGGGAAGGAGATAACGGGGGGGGCTGAACCTCCCGGGGACAGGTGGCCCCCACAAACCCACCCCCTCCAAGCAACGCCCCCCAGAAGGCTGGGAGGAGGGTCCCCTGGGAGGAAGCACAGCCAGACAATGGGGGAGGGGACGGACAGCCTGGGCTTTCTGTCGCTCTCCCCTCTGCAGGCCGCCTGGGAAGAACAAGGAGCCAGGCCAGGCTAGTGTTGGAGTTTACAGTGCAGCCAAAGGTGTTTTGCTTAATGGGGTGAGCCCAGATGCCACTCCACGGCTGCTGCCCTGCTCAGGGGAAACAGGCAGGCAGCTGTGGTAGCGCTTCCAGGCTAAGGCTGCCCCTGCCAGATCTACCCTGTGGGCCGTGGGAGGTCACAGAAGTTACCAGAAGGAGGAGGGCTCCCACCCTATGCTGTGAGTGTGCTCCTGTGAGCGGTGATCACCCCGAACGCTGTACGGAGAATAGGTATTCGGTCCGAGGGTTTATTTCTTCTGTATTCCAGGATCTGGTTTTCCAGGAGGGAGGGTTATGGGCATGACCAGTTTAAAGATGGAAGTTTCCAGGGAGGAAGCAAGGAGTGTGTGCAGGCCCTCCCAAGAAGCTCCCTGGGGTGGCCAGGCCTTGAGCTGTCCTCCTCGGGCGTGTTCTGCAGCCACTGGGGAGGGACGGACAGGACTGAGACACAAGAGAATTCCTGAGTGATAGAGCCTGAACGGAGGTGGGCCACGTGGGTAATACATTTGCTCAAATTGATCAAACTGTTTGCTTAAAACCTATGCACTTCACTGTATGTAAGTTTTACCACAACTTAAAAAAAAAATGTTTTTAAAGATAGATGAAGGCATTCAGAGTTGCAGACTAGCTTTTCCACAAGAACAACTAGAAAAGCTGTATAAAAATGCCTCCCACTCCATTAATCTCTGTGTGACAGTCTTGGAGAGCTCAGCCAGGACTTGAGGGACCAGGTTCCAGGAGGAGACCCTCGGTCTATGGCGCTTGTCCCTGCACATGACAGGTACATGGTAAAAGGCCAAGGGGCTAAGGAGAGGGCAGCATGGTGGCTGCGAGGCTGGAGCCCAGCTGAGTGTCTGGTGCTCTCGCAGGGCTGGGGACACGTGCCAGCGTTTGGGCCCCACGAGATGGGGAGACCCTGAAAAGACCACCCATCAGAGTAAAAATGAATCAAAAGTAGGCCAGCTCTCAAAACAACTAAACCTGCTATGAACCAGCTCAGACACAGACCAGATGAAGGGGATCTGCCCCTCCTCCATCTGCCATTATGCCGAGGTCAGTTCTCCCTGGAGGCCTATGAAAGCAGATAAAAATGCACTAGGCACACAGTAAGACAAGACCAAATGAAAAAAGACTGAGAGAAAAAAAGACAAAGGAAACAGACACACAGATGATTTGGATATTGGAGTGATCAGACAAAAACTTTACACCAACTGCCATTAACGTGGCAAATTTTATGTTATGTGCATTTTACCACTATGAAAAATAAGTAAATTATAAAGAAACTTTGGGAGCTGGGGGGGAGGACGGAGGAGGGACACTGGGGGACGTGGGGTAAGAGGGAGGTTTTCAGCCGAGCAACACAGTCTGAGAAGTTGAGAGGAGCCTTTTGAAAGGGTCCCCTGGCTGCTGAGTGGAGACAGTGGGACGAGGAGGCGTGGGGTGAGGAAGAGGCCTGGGGGAGGAGGGCCAGCGGGGAGGAGGAGGCCCGGGGTGAGGAGGAGGGCCAGCGGGAAGGAGGCCCGGGGGAGGAGGAGGCCCGGGGTGAGGAAGAGGCCCCGGGGGAGGAGGGCCAGTGGGGAGGAGGCCCGGGGTGAGGAGGAGGGCCAGCGGGGAGGAGGAGGCCCGGGGGAGGAGGCCCGGGGGACGAGGAGGC